GTGCTAAAGAGAAAAGAAGATGCCTCATCTCATGGTGAAGAAAAGCTTTGTTCAGTGTGCAGCAGGACCAATAGTTCATACATTTTTTTCTCCCAAACTCTAATATTAGTGCTCTCTGTCACCGACACACTCTCTGAAAGAAAAATTTAGACACTCAAAACGTTTCCAACTTGACTTGGATTCGCTGACAAGAAATTCAAGGTAGATAATTTATAATGAGAATACATAGTCTTCCCCAGATTAAGTTCAACTTTTGTGGTACTCGCTGAACAGATTCCTCTTACACCTATAAATAAGATCATGGGAATTAGTTATCATTTTTAGCCCACAAGATCATCATCTATTACAATCGAGGGACTAGGAACACAGGTAAACATCTGATCTGCTTGCACCATTATGATCATACCCCCTCATTTCAATAATTTATTTAATGAATCTGGTTTACCAAGGATGATTGGATCGAACACATTGGATAAGGATAAGGTGGGTCATATGCAAGATCCATCCTTTCAAAGCATGAAATTTAGCAGATCGAGCTTAGATAAGTGGTATTATTTCCATCCAATTCTGGAAAGGTTTTTCGTACGCATTAACAAATAGTAGCATGGTTATCTATCTAGAAAAATTACTGAGTGAACTTAGTATATAAATTAATTTGAATTTGAACCATTAAAAAAGGTAGACTCCATATGAATCTCTTCAACTTTTACGATTTAGATTTAGTCTGTCGCGACCCGAAAAAATAGGTGTCCACATAGTCTACCATACATATTTTCCATTTAATAATTTCTAACTTATAAGACGCAAATAACTGCCTCAAAGTTGGACTTTTGGTCGGGGAAAGCACCTCGGACTCGGAGTGAAGAAGCTCAAAGACAGAATAATTGCAGTAGGGAAATGCAAGCGGAAACAGACAGAATAATTGCAGTAGGTGGCTGATGACATGATGTTTTGAAAGCATCTTAACATTTTCTCAGCAAAAACAAACATTTTGGATGAGCTGTTCTTGGCTCATTTATTTAATAGATTGGTTAAAACAGCATATCCGTTTTTGGAGCATCAATATATGTCACTTTCTGTAAGTCCGAGTCATCTTCTTGCCCATTTGTTTTTTATGATTGAGAATGAAGAATTTAAATATAAACGGGAGTAGAAACTATAAATTGTCAACAATGTTGATCCACATAATTCAACATAGGACATTATGTATGATCAACAATTTAATTATACCGTTTTCTATGAGTCCACGGTACTTTTCTTATTTGGAATTTCAATCTTCGAAATATTTAAGCTATGTGATAATAAAAATGTAAACTATTTATAAGCCACATATAGAGACAACTATAATTAGATTTTCTTGTTTACCGACAGAGAAATTCTCTCATATCGTGTATTTTTCATAGGCACGAAGCATAAAACTTCCCAAGACTTGAACACCATTTTGTTTGGTTGATTATATAATACGGGGATATATAAGGCTTGTTTTCCGGAGCCTGCAAATCACTCACAGACATATATATATGAAAGAAGAATTCTACACCAAAGAGTATGACAACTATAATATGTAAGGAAGATGTTTAGATGATCTTTGAGTGTTTACACCAAAAAATGATCAATTTTTTGTTATTATCGACAAATGATGGGCTTAGTCAATAAGAGCAGAGTTTCGTGGTCTTTTTGATGTAGCCCAATGTGTCAACTACTCGAGTAATAGGATCGGGATAGTGACTTGCACACATGGAGACTCCGTCACAAAACGAGCAGAAGTTTCGATTCTGCGCTAGTTTGGGAAAATGGTCATAACTTTGTTGATACATATAAGATTGAACTGATTCCAAAGTTAAAAGAACGAAGACTCATATATCTACAACTTTTATGTTTTGAGTTTTCTCAAAAAAGCCTGTAGAGTTGTCGATTTTGGAAGGAAGTGGATGGTCGTGATTGGTCAGGATGCAGAAAAATAATATGAACGTTAGTGAAGAATTGCCAACTCGAAGGAATTGACAATATCGGATGCAACCGTAAAAAAGTAACCGTCAACGAAGTGGAATTGAAGAAACCATCGACGTAGTAGAGTCTACGTAACCGTCGATAACTGTTTGGTAACCATTCATAACCTTTGTTTGTAACTTCTTTTTGTAATCTCTATTTGTAACTTTTTATAACCGCTAGAAAGTTATTTCTTTTTAGTAACCGTTTGTAACCTCCTTTGTAACTTCTGTTGATAACCGTTGATTGTAGACTTTAAATAGACCCATTCCACTCTTCGGAGAGACCCCCGACAAATCAACAAAAATGTTATCTTTCAATTATCTTTACTTTCCTATACTGCACTTTATTAGTTGTAGCTTTCTGATTCACATCATTGATTAAATTCCGGCATGTATCTCTATCACGGGTGTTGCGTCATCGATTAAATTCCAGCGTTATATCTTTGCACGTTCTCAAACTTTGTGGTCAATTAAATTCCGGCATGGTTTATACGTACGGTTCTATTTGAAGTTCGAAGTAAAGCTATTGATTTCTTGTTTGCCTAGATATTTTCTGTCCGGAATCGCCACAGAACCCGTATCGTCTCATTAAAAGCTGAAGAATGAATTTTCGGTGAAAAAATATTTCGTCGTCGGAGCAATTTTGGTGAAACATTGAGAAACTTGGTATGATGGTAACTTTTCTATATTATAATAACATGAATTTAGTGTACTTTTGAGTTTTGAAATGCAATTTCCATATTTTTCTTTTTCAATATATAATCTAGATAATTTTGAAAAGGTGCAATAACATGTTTATTATTAAAATATTAACGCATAAGTTTACGAAAGTTATCCTTCATATAGTTTCTTACCTAAATAACTACTAAAATAATTTGCAAAATATTAGGGTAATGTTTATAGTTTACATTACAATTTAAAAAATAACTGATATTAATCCTCCGATTCCCGTTCCTAGCACGGGCTTTGTAGCTAGCATAAATTAATGCCAATGTATATAGACCGAGTTTAATATGATCTTCTCCCCCGGGAATCAAGTGGGTACAAGTGATGTCACGTAATCATGTGACCACATTAGATAAAAACGAAGAAATAAACAGAAAGGTTGGGTTCTTTAATTAACACTAGAATCTAAAAACTCCGCCAGTAAGCATGAAGATTTTATTCTTATTATTATTTACTTTTTGGTAGGCTGGCAGCTAATCACCCATTTAGTTGGAGAAAATATTATGAGTTTCCATCTTTATTTTATAGAATTATGTTTAGAATATGTATCACACTCCAAATTCATACTGGAATTAAAGGGAAGGACCATCTATCCTATAAAGGAATAAGCCTTTAACGAAAACCATTTCAAAAAAATTTAACCTCATTTCAAATCAGTCATCTAGGCAAAACTTCTACAAAATTTAACAACATCCAAATCATTTTCAAAAGGAATTCATAAGTACTCTCAATTCCCTAAAATTTGTTTGGTAAATGCCAGTCTAGGTCACCCCATATCACTCCTCACATGCCCCCATTTAGTCATCGTCGTTCTTGTGATAGAATGGTAATAGAAAGGGCGAGCTTGATTACGCTCAGCAAGTGGCAATCCTCATTATTTCTATGAAATCAAGTAATACATTAATAATTACTGCAATTTTTATGAATCGACATAATGCATCGTAAAAATAATGCAAATAGCGCAGGCAATAGATATTCTCAAATAACATGAATATTCCATACCTACATAAGTCAAAGCATCATAATATGCATGGTACCATAATCCAGATAGTAGGTAGCAAACATCAATGTCAACTACTCATGTCAAGAAAATCTATGGTCACAATTTGCCGGGTGACAAGATCTGACATCCATATCAGATAAATATTACAATTATATTCAAGTATATTGTCATAAAAGAAATTAATCTATTACGTGCAAACTGTTCTAAGTTAGGAATACTAAATCAAAGGTCTAGACTTTAATTTGTTCACGAGGCCTGCGAGGCGTTTATAGACTTTCAGGGTAGCTGGGCTTTTTTCCTCATACCCCTAAGTTATAAAAATAATGAAATAGGGCTAGCAATATATATCTTTCGAGTAGTCAATTGTTAAATTATTATTGATTGTTGGAAAAAAAGGACAGCAAAGAAAAAACAACTACTCGGGAGATGGAATTGCCATTTCGGGCAAGCCACAAAAGTTCTTTTTATTAGTGAGCCTATGAGAAAAGCTAACCTAATGACATGAAATACTTCATTTTCAAAAAGAAAAACGAAGAGTGAATAGATGAAAGCCATTCCCTCGAATAATGTCGTGGAATCCGGTCTTCAGTGAAAGTAAGTAGAAGGGTTCACACCTATTAGATATAGTGGTCTCCTAAGCACCATTTCCAAAGTTCTAATTTTATTAAAAGATCTAATATTATTCTTTGCTGATATATTTAATTGTCTATAATGATATATCATGTGTTAAATTATTGTTTAGCAAAGAAGAAACAACTACTTAGAAGGTTGGGGATGTCATTTTGAAGAAGCCAGCAAAGTTTCTTTATTAGTGAGCCTGTAACCTCGATCACGAGAATTCACCAAAAGTTATTTGTCAGTTTGCGCAATTATTGAGTCCACCGGGGATCTGTAGTCATCTGTACTATTCTCCACCTTTGTCGGCCATTTGGCTTGTTGACCGGTCAAATTTATCAACAATTTAACAATAAATAAAACATCAAACAAAGAAACTCGTGTCAAATCAGCCAATCGGACAAAAAAAAAGGAATAACCCGGCGATATGCGGTCTTCAGGAAAAATAAGACCATGTGCTCACACCTGTCAGATATCTTGGTCCATCGATAAGCACCATCAATTTCCAAATTTCTAATATTATTTTTTGTTAACCCAGCCATAAAAAAGTCGCGCACGTCTGTCCTCTAGTATAATAATAAATCAACAAGAAGATCGGGTGGTGAACGAACTATCTGAAAACACGGTGCCGAATACTTATTCCTGATTGTTGAACTCCATATCTAATGGCTTCTTCATCGAAACCCAAACGGAAATACCATGTGTTCTTGAGTTTCAGGGGTGAGGACGTTCGAAACAACTTCCTCGGTCATCTCTACAGAGCTCTTGATCAGAAAGGAATCTACACTTACGTTGATAGCGAGGAGCTCAGGAAAGGAGAGCAAATAGCACCGGCGCTTATGAAGGCGATCGAGGAATCACAGATCGCAATAATCATTTTCTCCAAGGATTATGCTTCCTCGTGGTGGTGTTTGGAAGAGTTGGTGAAAATCATTGACGGTAAGAAAGAAAGAGATCTCACGGTATTTCCCTTGTTTTACAAAGTGGAACCCAGGGAATTGAGAACGCCAAGAGGGAGCTACAGAGATGCTATGGTCAAGCATGAGTCCAAGTACGGGAAGGATTCAAAGGAAGTGAAAAGATGGGAGAAAGCACTTTCCGATGCTAGTTACTTGTCCGGATGGCCCTTGAAAGATGGGTAAGTTGAGTAGAGTCCATATTTTGTGTAAGAAGCTATTTTGCAAATAAGTATAGAGATTGTTTGTAAAAATAAAAAAACTACACACACATGAGTGTAAGTATATATATAGATGCTTCATCTTATCATTCCTGAAAATACTTATTTGAACAATATAAAATGCTAAAACTTGTTACAGAGTCATAAACTCGTTACCGGTGGCATTTTGAGTTTGAAAAATCACATGTAGCTAACCATAGAATTGACACGTGGCTTTTTCCCATAAAAAAGTTTGACTTCATCGCCCGAAAGTTTTACTGACTTATTTGAACAATATAAAATGCTAAAACTCGATCGATCAATGGACAAGATGTTAAGAATGTGTTTCTGCACTTACCTCTTTTCTTTAGAAGGAATGAGAAAGTTTGCAACGCTTGATTCAGGATAATTAGTGTGTACAGGCCATGTAAGGCAATAACATCGTGCTTTAGGGTAATTTAATAGTTTTCGAATCAAAATCTCAACCATCATTCAAAGTCCTGAATAACTTTTTTTGATTAAGCGTATACATAAATCACATATAACAGTTCAACAAGATACATAAGTAAATCGTCATGTATAAATCAAAAGAACATGAATCACTTGGATGACTAACAGTTGAACCCTAATTTGTTTTGATTGGTGTGGAGGTCTTTTGAGTTCAAATTCGACTAGGTGGGAATACATTTTGTTTTGGTTGTGGTTATGTGAAAATGTGATGCACTGCTTTTATCATTGTTGGCTGGTAATTTCTTGTTATTTGCTTACTCAAATTGCTAAAACGATGCCACAACTTCTATTTTTTGTTTGTTTCAGAGATGAGTCAGAGCTTATACAAAGAATTGTGATGGAAATCTCCACTCACCTAGACCGAACACTTTTGCATGTTGCTATGCATCCGGTTGGGATAGATTCCCGAGTGGTTAAGTTGAAATCGATGTTAAACCTTGAGTCTGATGAGGATGTTCTCATGGTGGGATTATGGGGACAGGGAGGCATAGGAAAGACGACTTTAGCCAAAGCCATTTATAATGATATTTTCAATCAATTCGGGAATTCATGTTTTTTGGCGAATGTTCGAGAAGTTTCAAAAGATTGCAAGGATTTGGTTACTTTGCAAGAAAAATTACTATTTGAGATGTTAGCACTGAAAGAAAGATTAGTAGTGTCCAATGTTTATAGAGGTATTAATCTAATACAAGAAAGACTTTGTCACAAAAAAGTTCTCCTCGTCCTTGATGATGTGGATGACTTGCGCCAGTTACATGCTTTAGTAGGAGAAGGTAAGTGGCTTCGTAATGGGAGTAGGATCATTGTTACTACAAGAGATATCCATTTGCTAACTTATCTCGGGATAGATGAAGATCATGTGTACAAAGTTAGAGAACTGGATGACAGTGATGCTCGAGAGCTATTTAGTAAGCATGCTTTTCCAACACACCAAAAATTTAAAATCAGGACAGATCTAGTGGATAGTGTTCTAAATCATGCTAAAGGCCTTCCTTTAGCACTTGAGGTGCTAGGTTCCTTCTTACGTGGTAGAAGAGAATATGAATGGGAAAGTGCACTAGATGAAATTTCTACGGCTCCTAAAAAATGCATCAATGATGTGCTCAAAATAAGTTATGGTGGACTAGAGCCAAAAGTAAAAGAGATCTTTCTCCACATTGCCTGCTTTTTTAAGGGGTGGGATAGTGAGTATGTAAAGAAAGTTCTCGACAGTTGCGATTTTAAGGCAGTAATAGGATTACAAATTCTTATGGAGAGGTCCTTGATAAGAACTGAGTCCGGGAACATACAAATGCATGACTTGATTCAATTGATGGGTATGGATATTGTGAACCAAGAAAGCGATGATCCTGGGAGACGCAGCAGACTATGGCTACATGATGACTTTGTCGATGTTCTATCAAGCGACATGGTAAGACTTGCAAATACCATTATAATTCTGCTCCTTATCTTGACTCTAATTACTCAATATGTACAACCTAAATAGTCTTGTATATACAGGAAAATTGTGCTATAAAAGCCATAGTGTTTGAGCTACCTGAGCCGACAGAGATATGTATCGGTCCTGATGCTTTTACAAAAATGAGAAGGTTGAGATTGCTCATTTTGCGCAATGTGCATAATTCTTTCCGAGGTCCTATATTTCTTCCAAATGAGCTAAGATGGTTTCGATGGGCTGGATATGCTCCTCGGATTCCAGAATTTTCCTCCGGTCGAAAGAAATTAGTGGGACTTGATATGAGCAATTGTAGTATTACAATAATGCCAAATCAGTTCAAGGTGAGCATTTACCTACATTAGCCCTTTTGAATTCGATATATGAAATTTGTATCTTCTTCCCAATGTTTTTCAAAGTTGGTTTCATTGTCTTTGAAAAACTTCAACAAATTTTAAATTTTATTGACTTTCGGGAAATTTCATTGTGATAGAACCTAGATTCTTGACCTTCATCTATTATATATATAGTTAGAGCCGGAATCCGACAAAGTGTTCACTCATATGCTCACCATGTGCACTTCATTTTGCTTCTATGATTGTCACTTGGCCTGACACATGGCATCGTTTGTTTATGTAGCCCACATCCGCACTCGCCATACGGCACTTTACTATGCTCCATGATTGTCACTTGGCATGGCAGGTGGCATAGTTTTGTCACATGGCATAACATGTTCGCATACTCACCACATGACACTTCACTTAGATTTTGGGATTTCCACATGCATGACTTGTAGCACAAGTTTATCCCAAACTAATTGAGGGTAGATTTGGATGAAGAGTACTGGTTTGGGAATTTTTTTAGACGAAAATTAGTTTTACGGTAAATGTGTCATAATCGGACCAATTTAGGATTTTTGTAAGACAAAAATTAATAAGGGGCAAATCTCAATGTCGATTTGGGATTTTTAATGAAACTTATTCTAATCTTTTTAATAATTGTTAACCCACGTTTATTTGTGAACTTTTTTATATTGTGTGTATATATTATTCAATTCTTTCAAATAATATCTAAAATGTCAAATGATAAGAGTTAGGGTTAATACTGCGAAAAACCCCAAACTGGTATACCTGTGACAAATTTACCCCAAACTAATTTTTTGACCACAAAAAACCCCCAAAAAGGTACATTTGTGACAAATTTACTATCCATTAGTTTTCATTAAATTGGATTAATACTACGAAAAAGAAAAAAACTGGTATACCTATGACAAACGAAGGGTAAAATCCTAAATCGGTACACTTGTAAACTATCACGTGACATTTAACTCAGCAGTTTGATAGCAAAATTTAACAGAAACTAACAGATTAAATTTGTTACATGTGTACCAGTTTGAGATTTTTTGTGGTCAAAAAATTAGTTTGGGATAAATTTGTCACAGGTGTACCAGTTTGAGATTTTTCGTGGTATTAACCCTAAGAGTTAAATCTGATTTGCTAAAATATACATATATATGTATGTATAAAAACTGGTAAAGTTTATAAGTGTTTAGTAATTTCTTAATGCGGTATTTAATTCACGCAAAATCAATTTATTGTAACTTTGAATGAAAAGTTAATTAATAGGTTAAAAAATTTACTTAGAAACCTGAATATTAGGTTCCGAGTTGTCTGATCTATCGAAGCTCCTTGCTTCCATCCCCATGAAGAGTGTTGTGGCCAAATCATATGTAATTATGACATATACACCAGGTCAATATAGAATATATAACAGTCAAGGATATGTAATTGTGACATATCCTTTCCCCGAGAAACCCAATCTCCCCCATGTGTTGTGTAGCCAATCATAACCCTCATCAAGTTGAGCCCCTACGAATAAATTAGGATAATAATAATAATGATCAATCTATAAAACCATGGACAACACGAATGACATCTGATATTAAATTACCATCATTTCACGAGTTTGACTCCCCCGTCTATGTATAACAACTTACATAGGTCTATTTGTGGACTCCGCAGAGAATCATCTCTACATTAAATAAAAAAAAATTGCTCAATATATACGATTGACGACCTCAAATATAATACCGGATATGAAAGATCAATACCGGATATGCTTCAGTAGCAAACTATTCTCAAAAGGGAATCCCAGGGTTTAAATGTAAGGAAGCAACGTCATCATACAAACACCCATTTTTTCCCTTTCAGAATGTTTATTAAAGTTGGCTTCACTGTTTTTGCAGGACTTCCAAAACTTGAAGTACATTAAATTTAATCACTGCGAGTCGCTGGCTTGCACACACGACCTCTCATGTACTCCAAATCTCGAGGAATTGTATCTCTATAATTGCAAAAACTTGGTGGAAGCCCACGAGTCCATAGCATATCATGACAAGCTACAGGTGTTGGATATAGAGATGTGCTCTGAACTTACTGTTTTTCCAAATGTGCTCAAGTCAAAAAACCTTCGAGCTCTCCACCTTGAAAATTGCACAAAATTTGAAAGGTTCCCTGATATTCCACATAAACTTGAAGGGTTAAAAGAGCTTCGGTTAGGAGAGACCGCTATTAAAGAACTTCCTGCATCAATAGATAATCTTGTTTATTTGGAGAAAATGGATTTAAGTAGTTGTAAGAACTTAGTAAGTCTTCCGTCTAGCATCTACAAGTTACAAAACCTTGACCGCTTGCAACTTGAGGATTGCACAAATTTAATTGGGTTTCCAAAGTATGAGGATTCGGCTTATCCGTGCATGAAGACTGGACTTTCAAATTTACACAGTTTATGGCTTACGGGATGTAATTTGTCTGACGTAAAGTTTCTTCAGAATCTTTCCTGTTTTCCCTTCTTGACATCATTAATTCTGTCGAGAAACAATATTACTAGCCTTCCTACATCCATCAATAAACGTGATAGTTTGTACTATTTGAATGTCCAAGAGTGCCATCACTTACGGGAGATTCCCAAGCTTCCACCATATTTGGAGACTCTTCGGGCAGATAACTGTGAATCTCTGCAAAATTGTAGAGATTTAACTTCAGTTCATGATTTTGTTCGTAGAGGGTTGACCAAGGCTGATATTTCCTTACCTAATCGGGTTAGATTCTCTCTCTCTCTCTCTCTCTCTCTCTCTCTCTCTCTCTTCTCTCTCTCTCTCTCTCTCTCATGTGGAGTATATGCTGGATCCAATGTTTGCTTGTATATTGCAATAGCAGAAAATGCAAGATTGGAGGCTTAAGAAAAACAAACAAATATAAAGTGATTTTGCACTTCTACGCATGTAATGGAGTTGGCTACCGTACTTATATGGGAATGATTTCTATCACATGAGACTTGTATGTTAATGCGAGCAACGATCAAGGGATCTCTACTCATTTATAGAGCTCTAGTTCCAAGTGGAATTCACTTGGAATACCTACTACATGTCGAGGTTGTCCTACATCGGTTATGGAAGGGGCTGGTGGTCGGTTTATAAGTGTGGGGGAAAGTCTCACCCTTTGAGCTTGCTTTTGGGGTGAGATAGGCCCAAGACTATCCAACACTGGTATCAGAGCCTAGGTTGCCAATAAGTCTGGACCCAATAGTCACATGGGAGAGATACGGGTTGTCATGGCTCTGACCCAGTGCCCGATGTGGGAGAGAGAAATTGTTGAGGTTGTCCCATATCGGTTGTGGAAGGGGTTGGTAGTCGATTTGTAAGTATAAGGGAAAGCCTCACCCTTTGAGCTAGCTTTTGGGGTAAGAGAGGCCCATAGGTACCCAAAACTAAATTTAAATTGAATTCTTCTATTTGGGTACTAATAACAAAATTGGGTGCTTTCTAACGGTCTATCTTTGTTCCAGGATCCTGAATACTGTATTCTTCTCCCTCGAGGAGAGATGCCAGAGTGGGTCCTCCCTGTTGAAGAGGGTTCCGTATCTTTCATGGTTTCAAAAGACTTGTATGACAAGATTCTTGGATTTGTTCTCTGTGTTGCTCTCGGTAAGGATAATGAGGAAAAGGGATGGGAAGACTCATATCATTTGGTTTCCCATGTTAATGATGAAATGCGGAAGCGTAGATACCATCTCCATCCGTTGGAGTTGGATCATATCCAGCTTCATTATCTCATACCATCAAAGTTGTGGGGAGTAGTTGATTTTGGTCAAATTGATGAGAGTCATGTACAATTTAGTTTAACAGTATTCGGTAAATCCGTGAAAAGGTGGGGATTCCGAATAATATGCAATCAACTAGAGGACGATCTAAAGGTTGAGATTCAAGACAATCAGCTAATCGATCCAGCTTTCCTCTATGAGGTTGGTCATGACTCGACAAATCCAGAAGCCAAGAGTTCACATATGCACAAAGACAGTCCGATCGAACCAGATCTACAAAAGGACTTGCAAGATTGTCAAATGAGTACCGAGAAACACAGTCAAATAGTATCAAAGAGAGATCAGAAGCTTGTTCTCACTCAAGGCATGCGAACCAAGACTACGTTGACTTCCAATTCGACCAGCAGAGATGAGAATGGTGGTGTTGGCTTGCAGCTTTTGTTGCTAGAATGATGGAAACTTGCTGAGGAAGCAATTTGTAGGTGAGTGAACTCAGCTGATCTTGATTACAATGCCTTCTTTCTTCTTGTTTCTTCTCGTTTTCTTTTGTCAAAAAAACTTGTAACTCGTTACCCAAGTTGACTGTATATCCTAAACAAAATTATGTAATTCTTTCTTCTCTTTATCTCGTTTCTTTGTTTTTAGTTTTTTTTTTTTGGCTAAATCATCTTTTGTTCACCGGAGGCAAACTTTTCGAACTCCACCGACGCCACTTTCAGCATCACGATTCCTCATCTTCCACCTGACACCACCAGTGAACTCTGACGAATTGCCACCTGCCAACGGAGGCGATGAACAGAAGAAGAAGTTCGTCTTCCGAAAACAGAGTCCCCAGACAACTGACGGCGACAGAGACCGGCCAACGGAGGCGACAGACTACCACCGCCGACCGAAGCCATGGAAACCAGTAACGTAGCTTCAGGTGAACGGTTCTCTCCTGAGTTTCTGGGCTTCGTGCAACTTGCTATGGATCAGGTAATGCCTGGCACATCCGAATTTTATTTAAGTTGATGTAATACTTGAGCTGGATTATGAATTCGATTCTGTTGGTGCTACAATTGCACAATAACTTGAAGAATGTGCCATTGAATTTGTTGGAGAGACGCTGAATCAGTGTTTCTTCGTAAGTTTTGTCTGCGGATGCTTGATAGTGAATTCATAGGTTATACAGGACCTGCAAGATCTTGATCTTATAGCTACGAGACATGGATTCATTCCATTAGTAGCTGCATATTGATACTGAAATATTCTACTGCTCGCAACTTGATGCTGATTTCCCCTTGAATTGCCTGTATGCACGTATGAGAAATTCTGACTCTTATACTCATTTTTTTTCCTCCTAAAAAGTAACGAGACTCATTTGCTTTTATTTATATAAGGCAAAGCTTGCTTTGGACAGCCTGGAAGTTCGAGTTGGGTAAGAAACTGATTTTTAGTAACCAGGTGCATTTCAGATATGTTACTTTATTTTCTAATTAAGATGATTAGTATTTTCAGTCTTAATTAGTAAATGATTTCACATTGTACTTTATTTATATTATACCTTGATTGAACAGCTGTGTGATTGTTGAGGAAGGCAACCGTATTGCGGCAGGAAGAAACAGGACCAATGAGACACGGATTGTTCGTCTATCATTGCTTCTCCACCATTTTCTATAATTTTGGCCAACAGCACTTTGTTGTTGTTATGAATTGATACCCTCACATTATCCACTCGTAGTTATTGTTGATCTCTTTTGTGTTTCCGCCATAAAAATCTTTAATATATGATAAAATAGTGTTGACATCTAAATTTTGGCTAACCATTTAGGAATTAATTTTTAACCCATAAATAAAAAATAAAAAATTAAATTGCATAGCATTTAGTTTTAAGAGCATTATTAAAAATAGTTGCATTTTCATCTGACCGGCGGCGAATGGACTTAAGTGGATGACTCTAAACTTAATTGGACAAAACTGGACTAGGTCCGTGGTGAGAGGAAATTTGGCCAAAATCCGTGACTGAAAATTGGTGGTAACAACGCAAAATCCGTCGAACGTCGGGACATATTTACAGCAAAGGAAGGTTTCGGATGGGAGCATATCACACGTGAGGGCATATTTGATCTTATTCTTTGAGCAATATATCTTTGTTTTAAAACAAGAAATAAGGCAAAAAGGATGGATATCTAAACCAAATATTTGGTCAGCATGAGGGCAACTAAAGATCTTCACGTGCCCATGAACAGAAGGAAAAGATGACACTAAGGGAGGAAAGGAATAAAAAAATTATATATACATCTGCATTAGGAAGGTTGACCACGTCCTTTCCTGGAGAAACTTAGGTTGTCTTGCATATAAAAGAGACCTGTTGCAGACAAAGCGGGAAGAAGGCCGCACAATTCCATACGCGGCCACATTGAGGGGCTTCACAATTGAAACACGCTGCATTGAGAGAAAAGCGAGGGTTGAAGAGAGAGGGGGGGCAGCCATATACAAAGAGAAATTCTCTTTCTCTCTCTCTCGGGAAGCTTTTGGCTCCCACGTTGTGCCTTTTGTCCCCGCCGTTGCCGGGCAGAACATCGCGGAAGTCAAACTATTTTCTGCAGGTTTTCAACGTCAGGTTCGTAGTGACCACCATGCTTCAGCACTGCTTCGGGCATAGCAAGGCCGATAATCACCGGCAGGTTCGTAGTGACCACCATCGCTGTGCCTCTTTCCTGACAACGAGTACAGCCGCACATCCGATGAATCCAGGCAACACCATAGCGGCTTTCGGTCCTTATCGCGCTATTGACACCAATAATTAAACAGGTTATCGACAGTAAAATAAAATTAAAAAATAGGAGATATACAAAGTGATAGAGACAAATATATAAGGGTCATCGAAAGATGACAGTAATCCATAAAAGGTTGATTGTCAAGATTACGAAAGCAAATAGCTAACAACCATTGGAATATCCTAGCGAGAAATTCAAGAATTTGAAATTGAATAGACTGGAGTCGTGGAAGAGGTAAGCGCCACCCAAGTTTCCGTACCAAAAGTCGTCGATGAAAACTGTTACGAGAAGACTAGGTCATCGAAGCTGTCGACGAGAAAAGAAGCACGTGGTTTTATGCACAGTTAATGACGGTTCGACACGAAAGGACAGGTGTCGAGATGAAGAAATGATCGACGACGGTTAACATATGCGGAAGGACAGGTGTCAAGACGAAGAGAAGATCGATGTCGGTTACCATTTGCGGAAGGACATGTGTCAAGACAAAGAAAGAATCGATGACGGTTACCATACGCGAATGGACAAGTGTCAGAATAGAAACGGGAACGATGACAGTTATCTCATAGGGAAGGACAGATATCAGATTCGAGACGAGGTCGATGACAGGTATCTCATGAGGAGAGACAAGTGTCCGAAGCAAAGAAAAGGTCAAACAGACGATTAACCATAATCATGAGGAAAAAGGAGAAAAAGATATGATCGATGGCGATTAATAGACAGGTGTCATGAAATAAACGATGAAGATGAGATCAATAGCGGTTATTGAATGTGATTTGACAGAAGACATCGGAGGATAGTTATCATGCTCACAGTATAAATACTATCCAGTAGTCGGAAAAAGCCCCCCCCGCGAACAGATCAAAATGTTATCTTTCAATTATCTTTACTTTCTTGTAATGCACTTTTAATTTCCTTAGCTGTAGTCATCTATGTTTTAAGCACAGTAGCTCTATAATGTTGTATCGATGGAGTTCAGATGCCGCTAGTCAGTAAGTGAACGAATTTGTCAGGATTGTTTATAAAGTTCGAAGTTCTTGGTGAATTAGATCTCGTCACGGTGCAAATCTGTGTTACTGATCGAAACAAACAAGCTCTTTGTTCACACCTGGATATCTCCTGTCCGGAGTCAGCCACAGAACCCGGTCTCCTCTCATTAAAAACCAAAGAATGACTTTCGGTGAATTATATTTCGTAGCGGGACCAATTCCGGGAAACATAATTTTGGTAACCCGGTGGGACCTGTGTGGTCGATTTGAGTAGTTATAGTGGCACACACAAGGAGCCAGAGTCAGTTGGATCATAGCAACAATGTTGTAGGAAGTAGTGCACCTTCAAATCCTATTGTAGAGCGAGTGACACTCGCGGAGTCATCAAACAGACGGACGGTGACTGAGCAAGGACAAATAAGGGAGGTGGACATCCTTAGACATCTTACTGAGGAGCAAAAAATACAATTGGAACCAAATCCGGTTACAATTGCTACTATGAGGAGAATCATTGAGGAACAACATAATGATTTCGCCAATTTGGTCAGTAGATGTGTAGCTGATATTGTCAGACCATTAATTATCAATACAGTCCATGAGATTACTAATAGGAAAGGTCCAATCGATGGGTTCAATTTAGATGCAAACTGTTCCGGTGGTTCCTCCTGTTCAGATTGGGAGCATTGGCCAGCCTAGCAGCATGTGCCCTAACATTGGGATCACGGCGCATGCTACGTCTCTTACGCCGGTAAGAATTCTTCAAAGAGGGGAAAATATGATTGTGAACTAACCAAGTAGTCATGCGATGTTGAATGAAAATAATTTAGTCAATTTACTGCCAAGAAATGAGAATGTTAATGTCAGTCAATCATCGATCAATGGTAGTAACATAGCTGGACTAGCTCAGATAAATGGAGCCCATGTAAATCTGGCACCCCAGCAGAATTTACTGTATCAGTCGCATGACAACATACAATCGGGTGTTCTTACTGCTCAGTCAAATCTTCCCCAGACACTGTTTAGAGCAAATGTTAACACTGATGCTCAAGGAAGACTCCCAACACTACCACCACCAATACCTCAATATCTAGCTTCACAACCACCACAGTCAATGCCACAATACCCACTTCCACAACCACTACAACCAGTGCCTCAATACCAAATACCGCAACCCTTACAATAGAACATACCTCAAAGGGGCAAATCTTGTTCATACAGGGAGCTCAGACAGTCGCACCACCAGTTATAATCCCGGCTATGTATAATCAACATGCAATCGACCAAATATTATGGCAATATGTTGGTGATATGGGAGGATTTAGGCAAGTATATAGAAAGCCATATCCAGAATGGATGGATGTAGTTCCATATCCAAGGGGGTTCAAGATGCCAGAATTTAATCTGTTTACTGGCGAAGACGATAAATTGACACAGGAGCATGTTAATCGATTTACTGTGCTATGTAGGGATGCTATATATGGAGATCATTGGAAATTACATCTATTTCCATTGTCATTGTCCAAGACTGCTTTTACCTGGTACACATCTATATCACTTAACTTTATATTTTCTTGGGATCAAATGAAAATGACGTTTCATAGTCAATTTCAAATAGCCGTTCCAGAAGTATCCGTCGCGGACTTGTCGGCAATGAGGCAGCAGAATAATGAGTCTATTGATCAGTTTATGTTTTGATTTAAAAAGGCAA